GGAATTGTACATGTAACACATGTTGAATTAGCAAATGTTTTGTTATTGGTATATTTAACACAATAAAATCAGTTTGGAAAAAGTAGCACCAAACCCACCTGCCGTCTTGTGGAACGTTTTTGAGACTGAAACTTCACCAGGAGGTGCCCATCTTTCTCCCAAGGAGCAGATTTGAACTGCCATTCTTTCAGACAGCAGCCAATATGAGATGCACAATGCCCCCAGAGCCCTCTCAGTGTTAATGTGCCTTCAAATCAGAACCAACTCATAGCTAACCTTCCAGTGAGTTTTCAGAAGCTGTAAACTACAGAAAGAAGATTGTCCTTCATTCTCCTAAGCCACAGCTGGTGGATTCGAACCTCCTGCTTTTAGGTTGGTGGTGTAACTCCTTACCACTAAGCCACCAGAATTCAACAATTTATTGTTGCTAGGTGCCATCGAGTCAAGTATGACTCATAGCAACTCTATGAACAGCAGGTCTGGTCCTATTCTGTGCCAACTTTGCCATCTCTGACACACTTTTGTCATTGCTGCAGACAGTGCGTCAATCCACCTGGTGGAGGGTCTTCCTCCTCTTTGCTGTTGCCCTCCCCCACTTTTCAAGTAATCTATTAGCACATTTTATTTTTTTTTTATTTTATTATTTTTGTGTGAGTGTACCGTTAAATCAGATCTGACTGGTACAGGAGGAGATTGTCCCTCCTTCCCCGGTAGAGCATCTGGTGGATTCGAACTGTGAACCTCTGGGATTGTAGTTGCAGCTCCTTACCACTAGGCCACTAGAGCTCCCCTTTTATTATTTTTTTAATTATTTTTTGTGTACCGTCAAATCGGATCTGACTGGTATATAGGATGAGATTGCTCTTCCTTCTCCAGTACAGCATTTGGTGGATTTGAACCACGTACCTCTAGGATTGCAGTGCAGCTTCTTGCCACTAGACCACCAGAGCTCCCTTGGTATGTATATTTTAATAGTTGTCATAACAGGTCTTCCTTGCATACATATGGATAGTTCCCTATTGCTCAAGCATATTTATGTTGATGAGAAGTCCCAGCTGGGCCCCCAGATCTCTGGCAGTTTGTCACATGGGAACTTGTTTACCTCTGAGAAGGGGGAGGAATGAGATTACAGTCAAGGGGAATTTGTCCTGTCCCTTTTGGAAGGTGGCTCCTTATATGTGGGCCTGCACCTTCACAATGTCTTCTGGGATTCTTCTAGCCCATTGAGCTTTGGGGAATCCATTCCACAGCATGATCTTGGTCTGCCCAGAGAGAAGGACAAAGGTCCAGCCATGATTCTTGCACCTCCATAATACCTGGCTAGTTTCTCTCTGAGGGAGGCAGTATTTCTAGGTTAGTGGTGTAGTGTGTAACGTGTTTGTTAACAGTAAGGTCGGTGTTTTAAATTCACAAGTCCTTCCATGAGAAAGAAGGGCAATGTCCTCCTGTAAAGGGAAGTCAGAAATCAGAAGAATGGTTACTATGAGTCGGAATCAACTTAATACTTTGACTTGAGCGTGGAGATCAGCATCAACCACGTCAAGGCTTACAGTGTGGCTTATTGGAGCATGCCTCTCTCATGAGGCGATCTGAGGCTCAGGAGAAATCCCACTGGGCGCTGTAAGGAGTGTTTCTCTGTCCATTATCTTGGCCAACACCTCTGTCCACAAGACTGCTTGCAGGGCCACAGCCCAGTGCATGTCTGGATAGAGGCAATGCTGCTTCCTTCCCCTAAAGGCTCCAGTAGCTTGTTGGATCGGGGACTTCTTAGGGTAGAATTCTGTGTATCTCTCTATTGGCCAAAGGTTAGAACCTCAGGGGCAATGCTTATCTGCACCTGGACTTGGTTGCTATGAGAACTAATTGATGTTTATGCAAACACCTTGCAAACATTGACACTTAACCCTGGAGAGGCCGGGTGCCAGGTCCTTTGCTCTCATTGGCGACTGCCCTTTCCTATCAGGAGATATCTGGGCCATCACTCTTGGGAGCCAATGGAGGCTGATCAGATGGCAGCTGCAGGTGCTGGGGAGAGTGGGAATCATTCCTTCATTGTGGACTTCTTTTGTTTCCTCCTGGTCCCTCCTAACACTAGCTAAGGTCAAACAGGGGACTTGGGTCTTACTGGCTGGCTGGGTGCACTTGGACAAGTCACTTCACCTTCCCTACTTTTAGCTGCCTCCATCTAATAAGTGTATTTGTGAGGATTACACAACAGGGATCTCCGATGGTCTAGTGGTATGAGTCTGTGCTGCAGTCCCAGAGGTACCTGGTTTCACCAGCTGCTCCTTAGGAGAAAGATGCAGTTTTCTCCTGTGCAATTATATGCCTCTTATCATCCTCTAAAAGGTCAGATATGGGTCAATTTGGACAAATTGGTCCACAAAACACAAGAAAATGTGAGCAGACCTGTCATGCAGGACCTTACCCACCTCCCCAGAAGGGGATGATGGGTGTGTGTGTGTGTGTGTGTGTGTGTGTGTGTGTGTGCGCGTGCGCACGCGCGCATGTGTCTTCCCATCACCATGGCAACTGCCAGGGCTTTTTCTAAGAACTCCCTACACACCTCCCTTCTGTGCTGTTGTCTACAGGGGTATCACAAAGAAAGTAGAGCATCCCAGGATCAAAAAGTAAGCCTTGAGATACAAACAACTCAAGGCTTTGCCGTGTGTAAAACAGGGTTCCAGTTCTGCTGTGGTGCTTGTGAGGTGCTGGTGCATCCTCAGCATTTAGTAATCAGCTCTTCCCAGCAGGAAGGAGAAAGCAGGGGGAAATGGAGCGATGAACACAAGGCAAGAAGGCAACACCAAACAGGAAGGAAACCCATGAATCTGAGGACAAAGTGCCCTAGTGGCACAGTGTTTAAGCACTCAGTCACAAACCGGAAGATGAAACTCAAACCTCCAGCTACAGAGGGGGGAAGATGAGGCAGTCTGTCTCCAGCTTTGGAAATGCCACGCGCAGCCCTACCCTGTGCTGTAGGGTCACCATGAGTTGGAGATGACAGCAGTGCGGTTTGTCTAAGGGCAGTGGGATGATAGCTTCCTGTTTGAACAAATTCCTTAAAAATAAGTGTTTCCTTCTGTAAATTGTTCTGGAAAAGATGTAATGTCCTAATGATTAAAAAAGTTTCAAACGTGGTTACCTTTTAAAAATAGCTAATAATTTTACTTTGGCCTATTAAAATATAAATATACAGCAAGCATTTGCATTCAGAGGCCAAAGCTGGACTAGACTGTAAATTTATAAAAACACGAGGGCTTATTGAACATCTTATCCTGTTTAATATTAAAAATATAAGTTATGTAAATTAAGGGAAGCCTTTCTTGTTAATAAAAACTTGTTAATAAAAATAAGTGTTTCCAGTGTAATCTGGAAAAGGGCTTCACACACAGCTTCACCTGGGTGGGTTTCTTAGTACCTGGGACTATCAAAAGGTAGGGAAGTGCTCGTGCTGGGGGTAGAACCTCATGCCCCCTCCCAGGACGCCCGGCCTCAGGCCCAGTTTTCTCTGCTATCACCTCTCCTGATGATAAATTTACACCATGGCTGGTGGGGGGTGCCTGCAGAAAGACATCCTCATTGTCAAAACAAAGTGTTGGTCTTGCACTTTTTGCCCAGAGGCTCAAATCATCTGGAAGCAGCTAAGGACACAAGGGGCACTTTGTGGAGCAACCTTTTTATTTAATAAGTTATAAGATACAATGTACAGTTCAGCATTTGATTCCAGTTTCGCATCCACATCCCAGTTTACGACACCTGCAGCCCTTCCGCACTGGGCTCTGGTCGCTGATTGGTGGCTTTCTGCTGATACTCACTCCAGCTTCTGCCCATGGTGAGGACCCGCCCTGCCCTCACCCCTGCCACAGTGGAGGTCAGTAGTGAGACAAGAGGGGGGACCACCTCCTCAGGACTTAGCTCACATCACAAGCTCGAGCTGTGCAGCTGGGCAATGTCCTGGAGCCAGCTCAGATCTGCAAGGCACACGGCTTTCACGGTTTCCGCCGGTGAAACGCCACCAGCAAGCTGACGGCCTTTCCGCTCCCTAGCTCCATGATGTCTGGGTCCAAGATCGGCAGGGGTTTCATTCTTTTTCATCTATCATTATTTTCCAGGTAAAAAAAAAATGACCCAGGAAGCTACTAAGACTGCATGGGCTGCGTGCTGTAGCACAATGGGCCGTGCTGACAGGGAGGCTGATGGGTGGACCATCCCCGGGATCACTTTGTTGAGAGCTATCAGGACGAACGGCTGGAGTGGGCATGAAAGCGAGGGTTTCGAGAGGGATCTTTGGCAAAGAGAGCGCTGCCCAATGCTGCAGAGCTCCCCACAGACAGAGGAACCAGAACTGACCCAAGAAGAGCCACACCTCACTGATGGGAAACCATCAGCAGAATGGTTTATCCAGCAAGCCGTTTGCTCTTAAGGACTCTCTGCCCTTTTCGAAATGTAAAAAGCCACGGAGCTCCTGAGGGGTGAGGTGAGGGGCTTGAGTAGTGTTAAAACAGCAGCAGTCACCCACCCATCAGCCTCCCCTGGCACAGCACGGGCACTGGAATAGATGGTTTTAAATGTATTTCTTTTTCAACGTAACCACCGATAAAGGTATGTTTTTCAATGTCCCTAGTCCCCTTGTTTTGCTTCCTAAATGCTGAAAAAGAAATCAATAGCTTAGGCTAACCAATTTAATTTTTTTTAAAAAAAACAAAACAAAACATCCACCTCGTTCTTGTTCTCAGTCCGGGTGCTGTGGCTCAACTGAGCCTGATTTGAACAGTGTACACACGCTGTCTCAGACCGTTCGAGCCAACATTTCTTAGGCTTCTTCACACCATGACCCTAAAGAATCAAGTCGAGGGCTTCTTTTGAAGGCACTTTAGAATGGTGATGTTAGGGATGGGGCTTCACACCCAGGGAACTTTGTATAAAATGAGTTACAAACAAGCAACAAAAGGAACAAAAGAGGAGAGACTTCCTCTCAGGGTTGGATGAGAACCGTTTTAAGGCACTGTGACGTGGAAGGGGCTGCCGGGGATGTGCTCCTCCCCCCACTTCACGGCCAGAATATAGTCCCCTTTCTCCTTGACCACGTATGTGACGTTGTATTGTTGATTGCCCATGTGCTTCACGGAGACCTCTTCACACGGGGTGGTGGGCCCGTGGACCCCAATCAGCAACATGTTGGAACCTGGGAGACAGGAAGGTAGTTACTCCAACAGAAAGCAATCATTGCAGGTGAGGAAAAGACAGCAATATGGAAGTCAAAGGTCAAGGACCTATGCTCTGGCCATAAAGATGCTGGTGCCCCTTAACAGGTGGGACAGTGTGGAGGTTATGAGCAGGGACGCCCGTAGCCATGTGGGTTCAAATCCCTGCTCTGCTCCTTTCAGTTTGGGTGACCCCAGACATGGAACTTCTCCTCTCTCTCCCTGTCTGGGAATGAAAATGACACCTGCCTCATGGCAATGTTGTGAGTGTGAGAAGAGTTAAGTAGTAAGCTGTGAGCACACCAAGGACTATTAAGTACTGGCTACCATTATCTTCATAGAGTACTGAAACTGTCAAGGATTTAATTTTACTTAGAACCTAAAACAGCTATGAAAGCAGCAGACAAGAAAGAAAATGACAGGCTGTGTTGTGAAAATCTGCTGCCAAGAACATCTTCTAAATACTAACGAGCAAGACTGTTACCATAAGAATCAAGGTGCCCCTCCCCACCTGCAGGGGCCAGGCTGCCTACCAGCTTTGCTGCAGTCCACGAGGAAGGAGCTCTTCTGGCCCACAAAGGCCTTTGAGAGACCAGCCGCCTTGGAGGTCACCTTGCTGGCGTCTGAGGATGCCTTGGGGATGGCACTGTAGCAGGTCTCGGTTGAGGACCTGGTCACTGATTCCACCAGGATTGAGGAGGTCTCGTTGGCTGAGCCGGAGCTGACCAGACGTTGGCCTGGAACACAGGAGGTAAGGGGCCGGTGTGAGTGACCAGACCAGGAGGGAGGGCAAACGTCCTTCACAGAAGCCACAGGGCAGTGGTGCCCACATCACGGTCCAAAACCTTTCAAACCCACGATATCTTCTTAGTTCTCTGGGATTCTTATATTCGAATACCACTGTTTGATTTTTGGGCAAATGAAAGAATCTGACCTTGGCTGACAAGATGGCGGTCCAAAAATCCTTCCCAAATAAATCCATGCCACCCTGTGGAATTCACTGCTTTCCATTTGTATAATATATTCTATGTGTATGCAATTTAAAAGTTTGGCAGGACATCTCCCAACATATCAGAATGATACTTTCTGCACAAAGGGCTTCCCCCCCCCTTTGTACTTTCTAATTTCCCTCTCAATATGCCTAAATTATTTATGCAACCGTGAATCCATGCAGAGAAAGACATGTGGAAGGAATTTTACACAAGGTATTATGGTGGTTATTCTGGGTAGTTGGCTAGAAGGTGATTTTTACCATGTGGTATTTTTACCGTGTTCTGGGAGAAGGAAACGTTTGTGGAATGAGTAATAAAGCCTTTTCGTTATTTTTAAAGTGAAGACTAGAAATGAGGGGATCTTCAGAGCCTGATCTGGACAAATACATAAGATTTCAATTATGTAAACATTTTTCCTTCCTCCTGCTGGATACAGAAAACCATCTAACGTGCTTTCTCAATTTTTTTCTTTCCCATTCTGTCTACATTTTTTGCAAATTTTGAACATGTAACAATATCATTTTTCCAACAGAATATTTCTTCATATAAAGACCCAAAGTAGATTCAATAGCCATCCCCACCCACGGTTTTGCCCATCAAGCAGTTACTGTTACTTTGGCAAAGCCAAGTCCATGTTACATGGGAGGAGACGAACTATAAGGTGGTCCAGCATTACCTGTCACCTTGGCCTTGAAAGGACTGCCCACGATGTGGTTAGGCCCGCCATATTTGACGCCGATCAGGTAGTTACCAGGAGCCATGGGGGTGTACATGACTTTGTACCCTTCTGGGGTTTCCTGGCAATCCATTTTAACTTTGGATGGGCCCTCAATGGTGACAGACAAGGTCCCTGGGCCCGCTCGGGTGGTGTTGATGAAAAATTCGGACTGGATGCCTGGGAGAAAGGAAAAGGGAATGCCATGTTGATGGCTTGGAGGGTTGAGGGTTGTTCGAGGGGGGCTTTCCTGGGGTAGAAGTGGGGTGCACACACAGGGTGGTGTGGGAAACCATAGTCAAGCTCCTGGCATAGAGAATGTGGGTTTTGGGGTGGGAGCTCCTTTCTGTAGCTCAGGCAGGCTGACATTTCACCCACCAGCCCCCAGGCCTGGACACCCTGTTCTTCCTCTGGGCATGATCTGTGCTGTGGCTGAAAGGCTGAGTGGGCACTGTGCGCCCAAAGCGCTGCGTCAGCTGTAGTGTCCAGCTGGGCTGCCATGGGGGCCCCTCTGACCTTTCCCCGGCCGGGAGCCGTGGGCAGGCCATGCTGACCTTTCTTTTCTCCTCTGAGAGGACAGGAGAAGTCAAATAGGTCCAGCCTTTCCTCCTACCTCAGTGCAGACACCATGTTGAAGATTGGGCAGCACTCTGCATGTGCCCTTCCCCCAAGCTGCTGTGAACACCAGTAACGAGGGCAGTCACACAGCCGGGCCCCCCCACTAACGGGCACCAAGCCCAGCATACAGCCGGGCCTGTGTGAGCCTTCCACCATGCCATCCTGACAGCACTGGAGCACCTGCCAGTTGGGCGACCTGGGGGTGGCAAAGCCGGAACCTGACCCCACACCACCTGGCTCTAGAGCCCAAGCATAGCTCTTGGCCACCTGGCCCAGATAGGATATTGAGGGTCCATTTGCATTACAGTAATCTTGCCTTGTGCCAAGAAGGAGTAGGACGAAGGGAGTGCCAACCGATAATCCCAGTTGGCGCTCCTGCCTGGGCCTCCATTCCATCAGAGCCTCTGCCTCCTCAGTCCCCTCTCTAATCCAGTGGGAGTGAGAAGGCCAATGAGTGCATGCAACTGTCCAGACAGACATGAGGTGCATGTCCTATAGGGTTCCCTCTCCAGGTCATCTTTGGAACAGCACCTCTATTTGGGCTGTGCTGCTCCCCCCTCCCCCATCCCACATTGCCAACCCCCAGCTGGGAACTATTTTTGTGTAATTATAGCTCGAAGGCCAGAGAAAGAATTAGTGTTCTGGTTATCAACAAAACAAAGGAGCTGCTATCATGCAAGCCCTAAACACAACTCAGCTGTTTCTGGAAGCTCCTCCTATCCTGGGGCCTCCCCATGAGAAGGGTTCCCGTATCTAATCAGTGCCTGCTGCATGAGGGCAGGTAGGTGGGGCTGCTGGGGGACATGTTCTCAGGAAGGAGCTGCAAGCCACTAAAAAGGAAAGATTTTTAACAAAAAGAGTTGGAAGCAGTGGAAAGAAGCCACACCCCTTTCCACGAGCTACTCTGATTTCTGCAAGGCCCAGAGAGCAAGAGAGTGCGACAGAGAAATGCGGCAGGAAACGTGGAAAGCAAGCAGACAGCCTTTGGGGTTATGAACAGAGGACATCTACTTGCCCTTCAATGCTCTATGTCTACACTTTGAACCACTGAACCAACCCCTACCTAATTCATCATCACAATCAACTTCACTTGCAGCTTTTAAAGCTCTGACAAGGCTTTGAGTTTTTCCTTAAAGCAAGGCTAAGGAGGTAGTGCTGTCTGCAGCAAGTTGTGCTAACCACACAGCTTCTGGCTTCTGGCAGTTTGAATTGGCCAGCAGCTTCCGGGGAGCCGGAGGGGAGGCGTCCTCCTGTTAGGATTTACAGCTTGGGAAACCCGATGCGGGTCGCTGTGAGTTAAAACTCCACAGCAGTGAGTTTAAGATAGGAAGAACTGTATGTACCTGTTCTGACTTAGCTACAGAGTTGACTTACAGACACACTGAAGAACAGGTCTCATCTGTGACCCCAGGAGTGCTGTACTGAAATGCTACCTGGTCAGGGTTTTACATGTTACTTCCTTCAAGGCTCAGAACAACCCTATGATAGGAGCTTGCTTTCTATTCCCATTTTACAGAGGAGAAAGCAGAGGCACCTGGAGATCAAGTAACTCGCCTCAAGCCACACAGTTGGAGGGCAGCAGACCTGTGGTTTACATATGAGAACTGTGCAACTTGGAGCTGAGGAACTTGACTGAGAGAGAGAAGGTGAAAGAAAGCCGGCTGGCAGGAGCGTCCCGGCTCTCAAGATTCCTCCAGCTGTAAACAAAAGCGGATACCAAAGCTGCCCCAAGTGCCTGAGGAGATTCAGCTTGAGTCAAGTGCATGTTTAATGCAGTAGCCCTGGATCTAAGGAAGGTGTGGGGCAGGAGGAGAGGAAGGCAGGCTGTCCTGGGGCAGCTTTTGCATATTCAGATTCTGGGCCATTTTCATCAGGAAAAATTCTCTGCTGATCCAGAGCTTGAAACTTCCCGGCTCTTGACTCCCCTCCATCGGGGAGGGAAGTCTGCTCACCCCAAATTCTCCATATTTCCCAGCTAGCAGAAAGGACCACCTGCCACTCCAGCCAAGAGATGATAGGCAGTCCACTCATCAAAACACAGACAAGCTTGCTTTGTCCCCATGGTCAAGATGCCCGGCCCTGGGTGGCCCAGGACGGACAATTTTTCCACTCTACTCTCACTGCAGCTATGTAACCTCAGGATGGGTATTTGGGAGAAGGTTCGGGGACGGGAGGGCTGGAGAAACAAGACGGCTTTCCCTTGACAAGAACAATATTTGCACAGCCTGGGATCAGGCACTGCTCCTCACTGCCCAGCAGTTTCCCTGCAAGCCCAGCTCCTCTCGGTCCAGGGTCTGTAAGGCGCATCTGAAAGCTGAGCTCCTGAGAAGGTGGCAAACCACCAAGAAGCAGGAGAGGGCCTGGCATCGCCAGTGTGACCCAGCGGGAGTGAGGGGCCTGGCCAGGGTCAGCTGCATACTTCAAGGATATGAGGACGTCCCTCGGGCCTGGTTGGCAAGACTGCTTATGGGGCCAAGTGTCCACAGTGTGGCTCTAGAAGTGGGACACACAACAGCGCAGAATGAGGGTGCAGACTCTGCTTCTGCATGAGCTAAGCAATTTGGTCTGGTTCAGGGGTTAAAGGCACAAGCTCTGATATCAGACAAGGGCTAACTCGTGGTCTTGCCTCCTGGGTCAGGTTGGGAAGTGACATCTCAATTTTCCCATCTGTAATACGGACGTCACTGAACCAGGAGGTGGCTCTAGGAGGGTGACACGATGCTTGACTGCATTTACCTGGGGTGGGGTGGGGCAATGGTTACAAGCGCTTGGCAGCTGACCAGAAGAAGGTCAGTAATTTGAAAGCAGCGGCTGCTTCAGTAAAGAAGGCAGCCTTGGAACCCCTGGAAGGGAAGCTCTACTCTGTCCTACGGGGTGGAGGGAGGTCGCAATCGACTTGCTGGCAATGGGTTATTAATGTAGAGCTCTAAGAGAAGATGAAGCAAGTAAGTGGAGACAGGGGAAGATAGACCCCTCATCACACAAAGATGATCAAGACACTGGGAACCACAGCAGAGAAGAGACGAGGTCCTTCCGCCAGAGCTGAGAGAGGGAGCAAGAGTTTGCCCCTAAAGCTGGCACCCCGAATTCGGACTTCTGTGAAAGAACAAACTTGTCTGTCACAGTCCCCACTCGTGGTATTTCTGGTATGGCAGCTGTAGTCAAGGCTGTGCCTAAGGCTTTCCTGGGGTTGAAAGGTTTCCATGGTTTCATCCCTGGAGGTGGTGAAATAGTGAGCAGATGACAGGCCAGGGCAGCATGTTACCTGTGGTGCCGCCCTCCAGCCCTGCGCCGTAGGCGGACACCAGGGCGGGGTTCCCCGCTTGTCCAGGCTCCCCGACTCGCACTTTGAAGGGACTTCCAACCACGTGGCTCCCATTGAACTTGACATCGATTGTGTGGACCCCATTCTCGTGCGGGATGAAGCGAACAGCATATTTATCTGAAGGAGCAAAGCCACAGGGTGAAAATGGGCACAGAGACAGGTCCGAGTTAGGTGAGGACAAAGGGGAGGTGCTCATCCCAAGATGGGAAACCTGAAATCACGAAAGAACAACAGATCCACGGGAAGCCTTCCTGGGTCACACTGGATTTCAAGTCTAAACGGGCTGAGTTCAGGCGCCCTCTTTAATCCTTTGGGAAACACACCCAAATCTCAAAATCTGTGTTTAATATTTTTGTCCTACCTAGGACTGCCCTGCCCACTTGTCCTCACCTCCTAAGAACACTTCCTGCCTTTATGAAAAGCTCATTTCTTGCAGTTTCTCTATTTGGATACTGGAAGTAAGGGAAAACCACACCTCTAGTTGGCATCAATGCTCCTTGTTCAGCCAAAGCTTGTAGCTACAGCACCAGAGCAGTGAGCTGCTAAGTGTTTTACCAAGTGCTCGAATCACAACATGTGGCAGGATAATCCGTTAACGGAAATGAACACTCAGAATAACCATTCATCATGTCCTCTCATTCCTCACATACGGTTACAGCTCACTCACTGACTCTCCCCCTTTCTGGTCACTCTCTCAGCCTTGGCTCTTCGCACCCTTCCTCATCCTCAGAATCTGTGTTTCCCAAAGTCCAGTCTGGGTTAGCAATGCAATTTGCTACAGGCCATACACCACCAGAGCGCTCCTCTCGGGCACAATCTCCACAAGGGGAACTTGTATATGGACTTGATTTGCTCTCCCTACAGCCTTCAGACCCACATTTACCCCCAGAAGCTCTCAGGTGGGCACTCATCACTCCTCTTTATAAGCACAATACTTAGAACATGGAAACAGGTCAAATGCTCATGAACAAATAAACTGACTGAGAAATTGTGGTTCATTCACATGATGGAATACTGTGCACCACTCAGGAGCAACAATTTTGAAAAATAATTTACTATATAACTCTATACTATATTTTGAAAAAGATACATACTATATAATATGCGAGAGGCTAGAGAGCATTATCCTGAGTGAACTAATTCAGTCTAATAAGGATAAATACTGCCTAAGACTGTTATTGTAAAACAAAAGGATAACTAGTAAGATGTGCATTAAAGTTCAAAGAGGACAGGGGAGGAGGTGGGGGGGGTGGGAAAAATCACAGGGTCACAGTTTGGTGAGTGGATGGAGAAGGTGAAGGAATTAGGAAAATCTAGTGGGGATCTGAAAAGATGGGCTAATAGTAGGCATAGGTCAATGGTGATTCATTTTATAAGACAGAGTGTATGAGAATGATTGTATGAAACAATGTGGATGAAGGAACCTGTGAAATACAATGTATATGAATGAAAAAAAAGTATGCAAGAAGAAAGTAAGAATTTCCACACATAAAAAAACAAAAACTAAAAACCAACCACAAAAAATAAATAAGGGGGGGGGGGGGGAAAGGCCCTATGCTTTAGGGAAAGTTGACTCTTGCCCAAATCCAGGAGTGGGCCCGGATTGGATCAAACGTAACAGGAAAATCTTTCCTTCCTTGAGCCTAAATCAGTCAGCACATGGTTATTTCCTTAGCAAGAGGAAGTGACTCACAAATGGGCCTATTTCCCAGCTCAGTGAGATGGGAGGGAAGGTATGTTAGGGAATTCTGGGAATAGAGCATCTCAGACTTCTGAGGAAGTATCCTGAGGAAAAGATGCATCACCTCATTAGTGTATTATGGAGGTGGGAAGTCTGGAGCTGCTGCAGCTATCTTGCCACCATGAGGAAGCTAAGTCTCAGAATGAGGTCCACAAAATAAAAGAACAGAGACATTTGGGATCTTGACTGGCTAGATCAAATCACCATTGAAACATGAGTTAGATCCTTAACTGTCTTATTATTTGAATTAACTCATTGTGTAATTATGCTTGCAGTAGGTCTTCTGTAATTTGCACCTCAATGTTTTAGCAATCTTAGTACCTCTAGGGCTTCAAATATTGCTCTGGAGTTGGGAACTCCAACTCTTACTGGTTGTTGAGCCCAAGGCTCTAGTAATATGGATATCTAGTAATTTGGAAGGTGCATCAAAATTCCAAAACAAAACCGTCACCTTTTCTGTGAACTGCATTCTCATCACCCTATCCAGCCTTATAGCTGCATGTAGACTTCCTCCTGAATTCTTGCCATCTTCATACAGCTGAAAAATCCAGCTGCTACCCATAAGGTCAGTGGTTCAAACCCACCAGGTTCTCAGTGGACAAGACAGTCCTCCTCTGTGCTACGGAGGTGCTCGAAGATGGAATCAACGGGATGACAGTGGGACTGGTTTGTGGTTTCACTCCCTATGATGAAATGGTCACCAAGTGCATTCTCGCCTTTCCATTTCCAGGGCTGCTGATTAAGTCTGTTTTCTCTGACCTGCTCTGGGGGGCATGGGCTCGCTACTGTGCCTTCTGGATGCTCCAGTATATCCTCTCTGATGTAGCTGACTAGGAAACCGCTTTTCACATTTGTTTTTCCTAAGGCTTCCACTGCCCTTTCTGCCAAATGTGATAAAAACATCTAAATGGTAAGCCAGGCCCCAGAGAGTTACCCTCACATATACACAGCTGGGCAGATGGTGGATGGTCAAAACAAGGCAGCAATCTCATGGCTCCTCCACATTCACCAAAGCCCACATTCTTGTCACCTCCTCTGAGAAGGTCCTTGAACCTCACTGGGGCAAAAACGAGTTTTCCTCTCCTTCTAAGTAGCCACAGCATTTGGGTCTCACTTCTCCAAGGACACCGGGTCACCAGCAGGGGCTGCAGGTTTGGAGCCAGCTAAAGGCTAGACTTCCTCAGTTTTAACTTCCTGTCAAGTCTCTGGCATTTAATAAACATTCATTGGCAAAACTGATTAAGTTGACTGATATGGAAAAATTCCATATGCCAAAGAACTGGCAAGAGCCTTTTCCTATTACACTCGATGACCCAGGAACTTTCTCTAAAATTAATCAGAAGAACAGCAACCCATCCTTTTCTTCAGCATAGGGTGAGATCAGATTCTACTGACTCGTGCCACAAGATCAACAATATCAGAACACTCTATACATTAAATGAGGAGTGAAAATAAAAAGGAATTTAATATTAAGTTCCATTTAAAATATTAAATATTAAAAAGAACTAGGAAACAAAAAGGAAAGCAGTATTTGTCAAAAATGAAAATAAAACAAGAACACTGTACGATATATCTCAAAGGGTTTTCTCTGTAGATGTTAATATGCTATAAACATCTAGCTATGCAGCCCAGGGAAGTCAGTCAAAATGCTCATTGGCAGTGGTGAGTCTGATGGGCTCCACTGGGACATACACTCGCAGAATTCCTGCTGGAAAGGGCAGAGGCCTGCCCCCAACCCCGAGTCCTCAGGCTTACCTGGCTCCAGTTCGGACACATGGCATTCCTCCACGGCTCCGGAGGGGCTGTGCACCTTGGCATCAATCTTGCCTTTTGCCCCATTCAACCTTATAGCAAAGGATGCTGGCTGGTTAACTTTTAATCCCGATTCCTGAGAATTTAATACATTAGACAGATTACGGCTTGCCATTGGTGTTCTCGTCAGTGGCACACAAAGACTGGCTGGGAAAAAGGGTGACAGTTCTCATGCAAACAGGCCTAGAAGGCTCTCCACTGTAACATCTGACAAGAGCAGGCAGGTCATCAACACAACTTTAACACTGAACATAACACAGCAGGGACAAGGTTGCGTGGTCCCGGACTCAAGCCACTTCAGTTCAGGCTGGAAGAGGGGGTTCCTGGGGGTGGAGGCCTGAGACACTGTGGTCAACAGAACCATCAGCAACACAGGCCAGAACTGGAGCGGCCAGAAAATCCAGTTATCTTCTGGACCTCCAAACATAAAGGGGCCTTTCTAGAGGGTGCTTGGAAAGTGGCAAAAATTATGTCACTGTTGCTTTTTTCATCTCATCAGGAGAAATTTTAATAGAAAAACAAAGGGTTACATATGCAAGAGAGGGAGCTCTGTACAGTGGTTAAGAATCAGCTAGGCCTGAACTTACAGCCATTCCTTAGAATGAACAAAGTTGTTCAATCTTTCGGAGCCTCTGTTTTCTCATCTGTAAAATGGGTACAACAGAAGATGCACTCCCCCCACCCCAGCACTGAGATTATATCTGTAAAGCACTCAGTAAGTACCCTGAGCTTGACCCCCACACAGCCAGGCTCAGAAATGTCGGCTTACAATGAAACGTTAGCATCTCTTTAGAAGCTGCCTGTACTCCAAACGAGGCAGCAAGGAGGGTGAAGCCCTAGTTCTTTATTGGATCTGCTTCACTCTCCATGAGCTTCACTCTTAGAAACTACTTCAGAGGGCAGAGACTGGGGCAGGAAGACGGGATGCAGAATGAAGGGGTCTCTAGTTGTGAAATCCTGCCTTCCCTCGTGAAGGGCCATCGCCACCAGCTTTTGCAAAAAGTCCTAAAAAAGACCAAGCAACTCACGCTGCTTTTTCCTAACCAGCACCAGCTGTTGTTCAGACCTCCAGGAAATCTCTGATAAATAATTTACATACTGCTGGGCATCGTAACCCAGGAAGAGGAGAGAATGCTAACTCTTCCCTCCTGCTGTAGCTACAGATGCCTGATGCTTTTTAAACTTTGATGACCACACTGCCATGAGAGGAGTGATGCTCACAGAATGTTCTGGAGAGAACTTCTCCACACCAGCTCCTCCTGGACAGAACCGCTTACATTACCTGAATCCGCTTGCCACCAAAACCTCAAGAGGGAGATAAACACCTCGGAAGATTCGAAAGAAATCTCCCAGATGCACGAAGGCAGGTCTACGTGCTCAACAAACACCGGGTTTATCTCCTTCCACAGGTTTTGCTTACATCGGCAATTAAAGAAACTGCTGTTAAGAAGCTTTTAAATGAAACACAAGAAAAACATCTGCAGCCACAGGGACCAGCTAGCACCCCTGGAGCACCCCACTAGAGACCGCTTCAATTTGGGGAGCCTAATTCTAACTTCAAACTTGCCATGTTGATGCCTCAACTGCCAATGGCTGGCTGGAGGGAGCTATATCCCAGGGAGCCTCCAAGCAAGGTTAGACTTCTTCATGTAAACTGCGTGTATGGAATTAGATCCAACACTGCCAATTATGAGGAAAAAAACTGGGTTTTAATAATCAACTGCTTTTAAGAACTGGGGTATGGTGGGAGCAGCTATTTAGAAAGCTCTTTAACCAGACATCATCAATTTGGATTCAGGTGTCATTCTACTAAATTGAATTACGATTTCTGATTCCAATAACTAATTATTTTTCAGTGTCTTGAGAGAAAAGACTCAAAGGGCTCAACTGTTTCTTAGTTTAGCTGAAGGCTTTAATAATACCTTGAATAAATGACCCATTTAAGGCTGGGGAAAGTGACAAAGCCTGGCACCTCCATCGGTTGGGATAGGATCCCAGTAGGAAAGATAAGAGGACAGGTTCTGAAGCCATAGAGACCTCGCCTAGCCTGGTTTGCTAGTGGCTTTGCAGCCACAACCTCCCTGCTCCTCACTCTCCTCATCTTTAAAATGGGCACACAGAACCTATTCACCAGGCTGCTGGGGTGTTTTAATGAAGCAACACTGTTCCTTCTTAGGCCCCTGCTTGCACACTAACAAGAATTATGTAAATTAAATAAATTCTAAATTAATATTATGTAATGTAAATAAATTATAAATTAATAAATAAAATTTGGTAACACTAAGAGGCACTGCCATCAATTTTCCCAAGGCAAAACCTCCCTGGACAATATGTTGGTCCCTGTATCTGTCTGGTTCTGCAGGCCCCTTATCCCTGAATCAATTACTAACAAGCCAGCCTCTTTTGTTACTTTCACATAAATATTTAAAAGTAAACTTGTCCCCACACACTGAGGAGCTTTGTGGCTGACTGTGGCTCAGCCAGGAGAAAGGGCTTCCACAACCAGTAGCATCTGTGGTCAAGTTTCAGGGGGTCCAGTGCACTAAAGTGGGAATTGAAGCGGCCTCAGGGGCCCAGGGGTCTCACTGGTGGCCTGTGGTCAATGAGGGGGATGCTTCCTTGTGTCTCACCTGAAGGCTCATAACAGTGAGGCGGCGGGCATCGTCAGAAGGCGCGATGACGGGCACCAGGTAGGGGCTCTCGGGGATGTGCTCGTCGTTGAACTTGATGGATACCTCGTAGTTACCTGTGGGGAGAGGATGCACTTCAGAGTCTGCAGTGGTGGAGCTCCAACCCAACAGAGTCGGTTCTGACTCATGGTGAGCCTCCATCAGGTTTCTGAGACTGCGAATCTTTACAGGAGGACACTGTCCATCTTCCTCTGAGAGTGGCTGGTGGACTCAAACTGCTGACCTTTCCATCAGCAGCCCAACACAGAACACTTCATCATCAGGGCTCCTTCAGTATTTCCTACTTAAAGCTAAAATGCCTCCACGGAGCCCCTGCCCTCCACTTACCACCCCTTTGTTACAGAGGAATTAAACTTCTGGTCCTCATGTGGCCGTGAACCTGCCTGGGAAGGGATCTTCACCTGCTGTGTTGACGAGTCATACCCATGTAGGGTGGGGCCTATAAACCTAACTAACAACTTCTAAGTTCTAAAAAGACACGCAGAAGACAGACATCAACCACACAAAAATGGTCTGTTAGCCACCAGGGAAACAAGGAGTGCCCAGAATATAAGACAGCAGGGAGTTCAGAAGAGACACTTCTGGCCTCCACAACTGAGTAAATAAGCGTCTGCTCTTCAACGTCAGGCCTCGGTGGCACTTCTGTTACAGCAGCACCAGGAAACTAAGACAGGCTGTGCACAGAAGCCACAGTCGAGTGACAGAGGGCAGGATACCTAACTGAGGCTGAGTCACTGCACGAGGGCAAGGAATCTTGACACGTATTCAAGGGGAACCAAGGACGGTCTCCCCCCCCCCCCGTGTGTGTGTGTGTGTGTGTGTGTGTGTGTGTGTGTGTGTGTGTGTATACATAAAATTTTGGGCCTTGATAGACCTGAGTAGGGGAAACTAACTCTTAATTTTTATAAACCCTAACTGAAATTTGAGGGAGCTCTGGCGGCCTGGTGGTAAGAAGCTGCACTGCAATTCCCAATGCACAGAAGCAGCAATAAGTGTGTATTGATTTTTATTGGTGACAAAGTCACAGGTACTTCTAATGTGCTGCATTACACATACTAAATTACAGTTGTTGTATACTGTAGTCAGAAATGACCCACAGCTGAACCTTCAGAGGCAGTTAATCACATGGAAGAAAACTGTCCACCCTTCTCTCAGGGAGCTGCTGGTAGCCTCCCTCAAACCATGTGCCTTTGGGATTGCAACATAGCTTCTTGGCACTAAGCCACCAGAGTTCCCTTTTGATACTAGGGAGGTTCATAACATGATTTTAGGATTTAAGGCATTAATGAAGACATATTCATTCTTTCAGTAGCTCAACAAACTGTATTTTAATAAAATTTATTTCAAGTTTGTCCTTACCAGGCTCTTGGGCAATATAAGACACACCACATGATCCGTTTTTATGGTCGTCGAATGTAATCTCAGCCTTGCTGGGACCCTCAACAGCGATGGAGAGACCTCCTGCACCTGCTTCCCGGGTCCAAATGCTGAACTCGGCTGTGAGCAAACACACCTGGTTAGTGACCAAGCCCAGAGTGTCCCTTCTGCCCTTCTTCTGTTAAAGCTCCAGGGCTCTGCTTAGTTTACTACCAGCTCGCTTCTCTCTCCCTAATGCAAAACGGAACCTACGCAGAGACCATCAATGGAGAATTCCAAAGCACCACAAGTGACTGCCAAGTTCATGGTAAACCTGGCATTTTTTTTAATACACTTCAACTAATCCAGAGAATGTTCAATGTTTTCCACAGCTATTCCCACCAACTTTCTTAACTGATTGGATCAGGGCCACCCAGAGCTGAGTGCTGGAAGGAACCCTTATGATTGATATTGTAGAATTCTAGTGTGTTTCACTAAACACACTTTTACAATTGTTGCTTGAAACAGCTTTGTTACTCTAACCCCTCTAAGAAATACATGCTCTGAGAAGGTCCCTGAATAATAAATTTGTCTAAGCTAACAAAGCCCAAACTTACTTAGTCACAGAAAAGAAAAATAGTGGGCATAGTCAATTTATAAAACATAAAGAATGGGAATAATTGTATGAAATAAAATGTGAATGAAGAATAGTGTGAAACAAGGTACACAAACTCTGTAAGCAAACCAATATAAAATTTAAAAAAGAATGTCCCTTGATGGTCAAAAAGAATGTCCCTACAGTGGTTAATTTTATGTATCTGTGACAACTTTGTGAGACAGGCTGTCTTTGTGTGCCCTGCTGACTCCAAGTCAACTCTGGTGGGCCTGATCCAATTAGTTGAGAAAGTCGTAAGGGCAATAACTACGGTTTCTGAGAAACGGATTCTGCCTATTGTCCTATTAGAGTTTGAGTATGCCTGGCTTATAAATTTCAGACTTGACAGGTTCACACAACCTAGGAATCAATTTCTCTCTCACACACACACACTCCCTGTTGGCTGTTTCTCTAGAGATAGATACAGAACCCAACAGAAAACCATACTAAATGTCTTCTTTTTAGAACTCAGCAAAGGATGCTGGGTGCTCGGAGACCAGGCTCAACTCTCATTCTTCTTGACATAAGCCCCATTCCAATGCTCACCCGGCACTCCTGCTTCTCCCCTCTCCAGGCCAGGGCCTCCTGCACGGACCTTGTGGGCACCCCCTTCTCCAAGTGGCCCCACAGTGAACTGGAAGGGGCTGCCTGTGACGTGCTGCCCACGGTACTTGACGCTGACGGTGTGGACGCCCATCTCCTGAGGCACAAACCGGACACAGTGCGAGTTCTTTCCCACGGGCACAATCTCTGCCTCAGTCACACGGCCTGAGGGGCTAGTGACGTGGGCTGACATGTCACTGCTGTCGATTTCTGAAAGGAGATGTGAGGTTGGAGAGGGGGAGGGAAGAGAGAAGAGTTAGGATAACAGCTTAAGCAGGGTAGGACATGAGGGGCAAGTAGCCATGGGTTAAGGCAGGCACTGCCCAGTGGGTATGGGAGCTTGGGTGCCCCACTCAGGCTGCTGTGGGCCAGTGTGGAGCAAGCAGGGCCTTCCTGACACCAGTGCAGAGGACACATTAGGGCAATTCACCTCCTATACCACCAAGTCCTTTTCCTGGATCCCACTCTCTGGTTTGGTTTATTCTTTACCCACTTGTCTAGCTCTTCCTCCACCACCTTCTTTTCTTCCCTTGTGCCACTGTAGCCCACAGCATTTGAGGATCAGTCTCACTTATGCATAATCCCCACCCAGGACTTTTATAGCCTTTGCAGCTAGATTTAAGGCCACAAGGCAGCTTCTACCTGATCAAACAGAGCACGAGCTGGCCACTCCAGTGTATAAATACCACAACAGCCTAGATGTTTCTAAGCTAAAGGAATACTTGGTCATGCTTAGGGCTCATCACAAAGGTAGGTGTAGGTGATCAGGCTGCCGTCTCTTTCTGCCCAGAAACTTTGGTTTTTCTTCAGACAAGGCAAAATGGGTTAAAACAGTGAACATATAACAAGTCTGACGGCAGAGGGGAGCCCATGCATGAGCAAAGCTTTCAGCAAACTGAAGACCAGAGGTCACATGATCAGAGAAGCGATGCCTCAAGTCACCACAATGGGGACACAGGCTACGCCCCTCTGCTTGAGGTGCCATGCTGTGGACTGTGCCTACACTGTCCAGCTGCAGACAGGAGCACTGCGTGCTGGGTGATGAAACCATGGCATCACCTAGAGTCAGGAAGAAGCTATACTCTCTAGCCCTACAGGAAGTGGGCTTCTCAGCTGGTGGCTTGGAGCCATGAGGACAGAGAAAGGAAGGGAGGGAGGGTGAGGAGTGAGTCACCTCACTGGGTCTAGAGCTCTGAGGACAGCAGGAAGTTGGGGAGCTTTCTTCCATTCTAGCTTATGAGAGAGGAAGGAAGTGAGGAAAAGAGAGCTTCATCATGAGTCATCTGGTACCAATGACTGAAGAGCAGCAAACTAAGCAAGAGTTAGGAAGAGACTTCAAGAGAAAGGACTGCTGTTAGGGCTCTTCAGTTGGCCATATCATAGGGTGACCCTATGTTCAACTGAACTTGCTCTGTGTCTATACTGGACAGTATTCTGTGGTGATCCACATGGTATTCCATTGGCTAAATTCAGAATGAAATCACCAGGCCTTTCTTCCTAGTGTATCTCAGCCTAGAAGCTCCACTGTGACCCTTTCACGATGGGTGGCCTGACTGGTATCAGAAATATGGTGGCATGACATCCAGGATCCCAGCAACATGCAAGTCACCACGACATGACAAAGGTACCATTAGATCCTCAAGAAACAAATGGGTAGAAGGAATGGAAGAGACAGTTAACAAAATTTTAAGAAATGTAAATAAAGCATATGGAAACACAGTCCAAGTGATTAGCAACCAGAGAGAAGATGATACTATATTTTCTATCAGATTGGACATGGTGAAAACGAAAGCCAGTGCCCGGGGTGGGTAAGGAGTATACAGAAATGGGCCCTGACATTTTCTTGGGGCCATTTGCCAAGACATCTGAAACGGATTGGCCCAGCACGCCTCAACTGGGCACCTATGCCAAGCACTTGATGGCAACTGTTCCTACAACACTAATTATGGGAGTTAGGGACTGAAATGGCTGTACTTTGAAGGAGATGACCCAATCAAAAACATCATGTGGACATAAAATTGAATATTATGTATTTATTAAAAATGTGATGTCTAAGCACAGCAGAGTTTCACTACGGGGGCCTTGTTACCCCTGAAGCTTATGTGTAACCTGTAATCAATACCCACAGCACTTCTGGACATTTGCAGACACAAACGGAGAGGTATGAAATGTGAGTTCCTGATGTGCACGCTCCCCGCTGAGGCTGAACAACGCTGGGTCTGCTAACCTGGTGTTCTCTAGGACTTTATGTCACTGCTGGCTGTGGTCAGGTTGGTGTCAGACTCCATTACGGATTCATGGACAAAGGGAATGGCCTGTGGTGACCACAGGGTTCTTAGTGACGGATTATTTGGATATAGGTCACCAGTCCTTTCACCCTCGTCGGTATTTGTCTGGAAGGTCTTCAGCATCACAGCAACACAAAAGCCTTCCCTGCCAGATGGGGGGCAGCTGCACATGAAGTGCATTGGCTGGGAATCATCAAACCTGAGTTTCCTGCACGGAAGACGAGAACTCTCCCACTAAACCACTCAACTCACTGCTATCGAGTCAGAACGGATTCATAGGTGAACTTCCAGTGGGTTTTCAGAGACTGTAAACTGCATGGGAGGAGACTGCCTATCTTTCTCTCATGGAGCAGCTAGTGGATTCAAACTGATTGCCTTTGGGTTGGGAATGTAGCTCCCTACTCACTAACCAACTGAACTATATCTCCATTTTTGAGTACACGGACTTTTCATGACAACAAGGAGTGATGCTTGGTCAAAGGACCAGCCGTGGTCACCCCACCTTGCAGTCCGGTTTTTGTTTTAATATTTGGAAAGGACAAATGGAAAGATGGAAATGCTGCCTCAGGATTGCCATGTCTTACATACTTCCAGATATCAACATCTGTGAGGCCAACTTCCTGACATTAGTTTACAATAAAAAGATTGTAAACCTAAAATTGAAAAGCCTGCCTCATTTTCTCCCCAAGTGAAAAAACAAAGCTATTTCTATTTAGAAAAAGGAAAAAATAATAGCAGGTAAAGATATTTATTTTTGTAGGATGGGTAGTGGCACAAAGGTAATAAAAAGAACACTGAAATGAAATAACACTGAGGTGACACATAGCTGGCCTGGACACTGCCTGGGCCACGCTGGACTTGGTTCCCCAATGGTGTCTGCTGTCAGCCTTCCCGGGGTCTGGTGCCCTGGGCTGCCCCTCCTGCCTACCTGGGATTTTAAGGTTCAGGTCACAGATGCTCCCAACGGTGGCCACGGACGGGGCTCGACTGGTCCGGGTGATGCTCTCCTTGACCCTGCCTTCCCCACTGATCTTTACGGTGAATGGGCTCCCTGCAAGAACCGAGAATGGTCCCATGAGTGGTCCCACGGGGGCGGCACGGCAGTGACAGAAACCTATGTGTCAGGCAGGCAGAGAGGGGCCACACATACCTGGCACGTGCTCATCGGCGAACTTGGTGGAGACGATGTAGACCCCAGGCACGGTGGGGAAGTAGGAGACCTTACAGGTGCCATCCTCCAAGTCCTCTGTCTGGATGTCCACTTTGCTGGGGCCTTCCACTGCCAAGGATATGCCGCCGTAACCTGCA